AAATATATATATCATGAAATTGGTAAAAGACATCATTTCTAAGAGTTAATTATGGAGGGAAGAAAAAGAGAAATCCATAGTTTGGGGGTATTTCAAATAATGCAGAGTAAAGAGAAATATTTTAGGAAAGAAGAAAGGAAGAAAAGAAGAAGAAAAAAGAAGGAAGATAGGAAGGAAAGAAGGAAACAAATATTATTAAAGCACCTACCACATATCAGACACTGTAATAAGAATTTTACAATTATTATCTCATTTGATCCTCAAAATAACCTTGGAAGTTAGGTTTTATTAATATCCCCAGTTTACAGTTGAAGAAACTGAGGGAAACAGAGGTAAATGACTTGATGGCTAGTAATTGTCTAAGGCCAGATTTGAACTCAGATTCCAACACAGTACTCTAAACATAGCCCTCTATCTATTGCACACTGTTTTTCTGTAACTGAGATAGTGTATGTGATTATTCAAACATGGAATTGGGTGGGAGCAAATTAGGCATTCTCCTAACCTTTAATCTCCTCTGGGTAAAGCAAGGGAAGATCATATTTTTTAAATTAATTAAATTTAAAAGACAAGAATAGAAGAAATGTAATGCTGTAGGTGAGGTATTTGAGTAGCATACGGAGGACCAGGAGAAATATTTAAGAAGTATTGTAGAGCTGAGGAAGGGAGAGGAGGCTTCAAAAACCTCAAATGAAGAATAGAGGGAAAGAATGATATTTTATTGGGATGAATGAGAAAGCAAACCCAACAATTTGTGACTTACAAAACACATTCGAAACAGCAAGTTTCATAAACAATCCAAATAAGTAGGTGGAATAGGACTTATTGTGAATGAAAAGAATTTAAAACTATAAAAATTGCAAATTTGATCTTAGACAAAAAAAAGCTCTAATTAAAAAAGGCAAAGAAGGAAATTGTATTAGCCTTCAAAGTATCAAGAAACAGGATTAATAAAAAATATATACTATTAACATTATGTATATATACTCTTGATAAACCTTAACCTAAACCTTAATTCTAACCCAAATACATTTATATGTTATATTACATATGTTACCCATATGTGTATATATGTAATACGTGTGTGCCACATAATAGAGCATCTAAGTACTGAAAAAATAAGCTAACTGAGAGATGGAGTGTATTGTACATGGAACAGCCAAGAGAACAGTGTCGCAGCACTGAAGAAAGTAAGGTATAAGAAAAGCAGCCCATTAGGGAAAATTGGGATCTCTAAACAATTATATCGATAAAAAAGAAAAAAGAATAAGTAAATTTTACATATAGCAAAAAGCATAGCAAATTACAAATAACTTTTAAAAATAAGAACAAAAGTAGAAATCTTAGTGATTGAGAAAGGGATTAAGTTCATACACAAAATCCTTAGTAAGTTGATAAATAAACCACAAACCATTTAAAAATGTTAATAAAATAGATAAGCTATTAGCTAATTTCATCAAGAAAAAGAAAAATTAAAACCAAAGTACCAATCAATAATAAGGACAGAATTTGCAATAACTTTAGAGGAAATAATGACACTTTCAGAAATTATGTAGGTTGATTTTATTCATATGAAATGAAATTTAAAATAAGTGGATTTATATTTACAAAAAAAAAAAAGCAAAACACATTAACAGAACAGGAAATAGACAATCAAAACAACCTGACCTTAGGAAGAGAAATTGAGGAAACCATAAATAAACTCCAAAAGGTGGGTAGGAGGAACTAGGAGTAAATGAAACTACATACAAGTGAATTCTATCAGAAACTTAAGGTAGAATTCAATGTTGTACTACTTGCTCTGAAAAACTGGACAAGAAAAGTTTCTTTATGAGACTACATCTATGGAATACATATGTCCTCATACACAAAAGCAAGGAGGCAACAATCATGGAAATAAAACCATAGTCAAATAGTACTAATATATATTTGTACACAAATATCAAATGAAATGTTAACAGAGAGGTTAAAAGAACATATTAAAAATATTTCCTGGAATTAGGATTAACTAAGGCCAGGAATTACACGAAAGATTGCTCTTTATTAGAAAAATGTTAAATATAATGGATGATTTTCATAACCTTCCCCCAAATAAAAATCTTTCAACAAAAATACACTCATGTATATTAAAAAGCATAGGAATAAAGAACCATTTCTTAGTATGATCAAAAGCATTTATATAAAACCAAGAACTAGCATAATTTTTGATGGAGGAACATTAGAAATTTTTCAAGTAAAAGTAAGGATAAAACAAGCCAAATGAGCAAAATCATGAGAATGTTGTATGCATAACAACAATATTGTTTTTAGAATGACTTTGATAGGGGCATCTAGGTGGCACAGTGGATAGAGCACTGGCCCTAGAGTCAGGAGACCTGAGTTCAAATATGGCCTCAGGAACATAACACTCACTAGCTTTTGTGACCCTGGGCAAGTCATTTAACCCCAATTGCCTCACAAAAAAAAAAATGACTTTGAGCAAGTAGGTCATTTTGACTATTACAAGTACCCAAATGAACTATGAAGGACCTAAGAAGAAAGATGCTACCTTCATCCAGGAAAAAGAATTGATGAATAGAGGTATGTGTAGAATTATTTTACATCAATATAAATATACACACACACACACACACATGCACACGCGCACACACACACACACACACACACATATTTGTGTCTAATGGTAACCATCTCTAGGGTGGGGATGGGAAGAGGGAAGAACAAAAAAGCAAAAAAAAAATACATGACAACTCATATATTTTAAAGGAACAGCAAGTTATAAATAATAGATTTGCAGTTTCATGTGCAATCATTTTTTTTCATTCTACTATGTTATGGATATGCTTGTTTTATTTCATAAATTAAAAATAAAGAAATTTTTTAAAACAGCATTTGGTAGGATACTATAAATGTTACCTACAGCAATATGAAAAGAAAAAAAAGAATTGAGAGAATATCTACAAAGATAAGAAATATCTAGGCAATCCCAGAGATTTTGAAAAAAAAAAGAAAGTTTAATTAAATTAACAAGATAAATCTACAAAAATCAACAACTTTTCTATATTTTAATAACAGAAAATCCAACCAGAAGCAAAAGACAAAACAAAAGTCTGCCCAAAATAACCATAATATCCAAGTGTTTACCTGAGCAGGAAGACATATAAATGCCACTATAAATAGTCATCACAAAAGCAAAAATTTGAAAAATTAGAAAAGTATGCATTATTTATTGTTGGGGGTTTGACATTTTGGTAAAAAGAAATGTGATGTTATCAAAATTAATTTACAGATTTAACACTAGCCCCATGAGGTTATTTTCTAGAACTAGTGAAAGTGATAACAGAATTCATTTGCAAGAACAAAAGTTCTAAATTTTCAAAAGCAACAATGAAAAAAAGGAATTAAAGGTACCTTGTCATACCAGATCTCACTACATTATAAAGTAGTCATCAGTGAAACTATTTGGTCACGTTTAAAAATATAGAATAACAGAATGGCAAAACAGACTAGGGAAGATAGACACAAAAGCTCTCCAATACAATAATGTTGGAAAAACTCAAGGACACAAATGACTGGAAAGAACTACTATGCTAAAAATTCTGGGAAAATAGGAAGGCATTTATCAGAAATTAAGTGTTGACCAACATGTTATTCCATATTACAAAAATTGGTCCAAATAAACATATGGTCTAATAGTTCAAAAAATAATATATATTTTTTAAATATAGAAAGAACAATGAAAGGAAGGACCTCTCAAATCCACAACTGGAGAAGCATTCCTAATTAAGCAATAGTGAGAAATAATCATAAAAACAAAATAAACAATCTTGACTGTTTAACATGTTTCCACAAAATTCAACGCAACAAAGATAAGGAAATTTTTCTATTGGGGGAAAGATCTTTGTATCAAATGTCTTTGTATCAAAATTTAATATCAAGCATACACAGGAAATTGAAATTAATATAGAAGTGGTCAAAGAAATGAATAATTTTAGAAAAAATCCAAGTATATGAATAAATCTTCCAAGTCACCCTAATAAGAAAAATTTCAAATTACAGCAATTCTGCACTTTGCGTTAATCTATAGCAAATCCAGAAAGCTGATAAAAATTGGAAATAATGTGCTACTGCATTGTGGGTGAAGTTGTAAATTGGTCCAACCATTCTGGAAAACAATCTGGAACTATGCAAGAAAATCACTAAATTATTTATACTCGTTGACTCCTGTGATCCCAGTTCTGGAACTATAACTCCAAGGAGTGTAATGACTAAACAGAAAGATCTCTAATATACTAAGCTATTCCTAGCAGCAAGTTTTGAGGAAGAAAGAAAAAACTAGGAAAAAAAACCCAAGGATGTCTCCCAATTGAGCAACAGCTAAGCCAACAGCGAACGAATATAGTGGAATTTTACTGTACAGTAAATATTTAGTGAATTTAGTGAATATATATAAAGACAAATATAAAGAATTTAGTGAATATTTAGAAGATTTGTACGCACTGATGCAGAATGAAGTACACAGAGCAAGGTAATATGATATACAATGAACAAAATTATGTAAAAGAAAGTAACACCAAAATGTTAAAATTCAGATCAAAATCAAGGAAAATCTTGACTCCAGAGGTATGATAGTCATCTGTACCTTTTCTCCTTAGAGATATGGTAAACTACAGGCACAGAGTGAAGAACTGGCTATCAGTACATCAATTTGTTTTTATTTTTTTTTAACAGAAAAAGATTCCATTTTGGAGGTGATATTGGGAAAAGAGAGACTGAAAAAAGCATCAAATTCTTAAGAGACTAGTTATTATTATCTTTATATATGGTTTAATAAGGCACAGTCTTGATAATGGCATTGAGCTTCCATGATCCTTACTCATCTGTAATAATGATGAAGAAAAGAAATTTATAAATGTTCTTTAAACAGGTGGTGATTGACTGTTTTCCCCCTAAAAAAATACAAGGTTTTTTAGTCTTCTCTATGTAGACCAATATTGCCCTTAGCCCTTGAAGCACACCCTGAGTTTCCACAGCATCCTCAGGACAGCCAGTCTCAGTCTATTGTGTGCCATAATGAGGATAATGGAGTGGGCCAAGGGGTAGATAGCCATACCCACCAAAGTAAACAGTATAGACAGCTTCCTTTCTCTCAGTGAGAAATTTGACAATGTTGAGAACATGCCTGCATAATACAGAACAAAAAAGAAGAGGAAGGAGACCATGGCTTTCATGACCCTCACATGAGCCTCCATGCTGAGGTCTCTAGAAGTCATGGCATTGAGCTGCATGTGCCAGGTGTGCCTCCATAGGGACAAGACTAGCAGCAAGCAGGAGATCATGGAAAGAGCAAAGGGGATAATCCCCCCCATATTTAAAAAGATCAGGGTGGGACAGATGTGGCTTTTATATTCTTGGATCTTCTGAGTCAGGTTTATTTTGTTTTCTTGATGACAAGTAATTTGGAAGGTATCACTCAATATTACAGTAAGGGAAGTGAGAAAGGAGAAACAACCACACCCTAGGAGCATGCTGAGAACTCCCCTATCAATCCTCCACTTCAGCCAGAGGAAGATGGGATGGGAGAAGTTGGTGATTTTCAGGAAATAGAAGACATTGAGGCAAGCAGAGAACCAGGCACTGGAATTGTTGGCCAGAATCCACATAACATGAAGGTTTCTCATTTCGCTGAAGGTAATTGAAGGATAGAATGAGATTAAAAAGATGTATGATGCTATGACTCCTAACAGACCAATTCTGGAGATGGCTAAGCCAATGAGCATAAAATTCAAGTAGGAAAATTTTCTGGTCTTAATCCAGTCCATACAGTTCATCATTCCAATGAAGCCATTGGCCAAAACCCCAACTGCAAACTCTCCAGAGGCCACAGTCACACAGATTTTCTCCACTGTATTTGACATATCTTGAGAGGAAACCTACCTTTATTACCTTTTGCTGAATGAATTCTCACCAAAGTTAGCAGGGTGATTTCTCTTCCTCTTATTATGTCTTGATCCCAATCTTATGTTTGACTATAAAGTGTCCAAACGTGCTATGGCCTAAGGATGCAGCTCCCCCTTGGGACAACCACTGCTGCCCCTTGAAAACCTCTTATCTAGGGATTTTGTGTCCATATCCTGCACAAATCTCCTCATCATTGTCAAATGGTAATTTTCCATGTGTCCACCTGACTGTGAGGCAGAGGTGTTTTTTTTTCCAAAATGTAAATAGAGAACAGATTCTATTTCATTGTTTTGCACTTTCTTTCTTGGACTAATTTGTCTAAATAACTAACAATCTTCAACATACAGGTGTAATGGAAGGTGTACTGCCTCAGGAGTCAGAGGACCTGGGTCTTAAAGTAATTAAAAATCTTCTGGCCACCAATGTGCTAAAAAGACAATAAATTGCATAACCCCTTCTTTCTTTCCACCAACACATACACACAGACACACACACAGACACACACACACACACACACACACACGCACACACACAAATTCTTCGTAAGACGAACAGTTAATAGAACTCAACATAGCAACAAGTTTCAACATAAAAATTTTCAAAAAGATAGAGGCTTTCCAGAGTTCATCTTAATCTCCATCTTGGGCTGAGTTGATCAGAATCTCAATCTCTCCATGTCTGTCTCTGACTCTATTTCTGTCTCTCTTTAGATGATTGTTTGTATAAGGGTCTGAGTGACTGTCAAGTCAAGGATCACAGGATATATACCTGCCAAGGAACTTGGAGGTCATCTGGTCCAAACTAGTCTTTGTGGGCCTCTGTTTCCTTATCTCTAACATGAGGAGATTGAACTACATGGCCTTTAAGGTTCCTTCCGGCTCTAGGATGGGATGAGGCTTCAGGTTTCTCCAACAAAATTACTGTTCAGCATTGTATACTGCTTGCCATTGATAATTTTCCAAGTGAGTTCCTGCCTGAGAAACTGAAGTCTCGGTGAAGATGTAAATGATGGACAGATTTTATTTGATTGTTTAAATGTTGTTCCAAAATTATCTGTGCAAGAGATATAAGCAAAAGTAGGACACAGAGAATATAGAGAAAAATGTTAATAGAGGGATGTATAGAGGCAGCCAGGTCTGGCAAAAACAACACTAGGTGTTTAGGTTTGAATCTAAGCTCTGACAAATACTGTTTGTGGTAGCACAAGCAAATCATTCAACTTCCCTGAACATTAATTACATTGAATTGAATTTTCAAAATGTCACTGCCAATACCATCCTTGAGGGACATCATGGTATAATAATAACACCACCTCAACACTTACTCACTGTGTGACTCTAGACAAGTGACTTTATCTCAGTACCTCAATTACTTTCTCTCCAAAATGAAGATGTTGAGACTCTAAGCTCCCTTGCAACTTTCAGTCTATGATAATGACTTGAATGAATCTTGAAGACAAATCCAAAGAGAGATCCTCTATCCTTAACTTGGGACAGTCAGAAATGGAAAGGCTAAGTATGTAGACACACTCTCCTAAAGTAAGGTCTTCTAAAAACTCCAAGATTCTGGCCCCTTACCCATGTCCTCTCTTTCTAAGACCTTGAATTGACTTGTTGTGGGGGTCTGTGCTCTTGCTGGTAGAGAAAGGCATTAAACCCCAGACATCATGTTCCTCTTCAGTACAAAGCACCACAACATGAAGACTGGCCTGAGTGAAGGGAGGACAGGGACTTTAGCATTGGACTTCTACAGAAAACCTGTAACTGCACAGACACCACAAAGCAAGGAACCAAGCCTCATGTGGTGCGCAGCCTCAACCCAACGGTCTTTAAAATCTTTCAAAGGCTGACACTGAAATATCTCAGGACTTTGTTTTATCATTTCTTTCTCTTTTTTTTTTGGCAGTTGGGGTTAAGTGACTTGTCCAGGGTCACACAGATAGTAAGTATCAAGTGTTTGGTCTGAGGCCGGATTTGAACTCAGGTCCTCCTGACTTCAGGGCTGGTGCTCTATCCATTGCACCACCTAGCTGACCCATTATTTGTTTCTTTCTTTGAGATGTAGTGTATTTCCTCTACCAAAATCTCCTTCCCTGCTTCAGTGTTATACAGAGGTGAACCTGGACTATGAGGGGCAATCCAAAACTCCGAATATCATCCCCACCTGGCTCACTGGTAGAATGTGTACTTGTTTGTAGGAGCCACTCTAAGTTCAGAGAAACTGATCATCAGGTTACCCACAGAGTGGTTTTTATTTTTTTGGCTACAACACTCCTCAAAGAGAGAAGGCAGGCCAATACTAACAAGCTCGTAAGTTTTGCAGGTATAAAAGAGAAATTCATTTTCCCTTTTTCTACTTTTCTTTTTTTTTAATATAAATTTATTTATTTTCAGTTTTCAACATTTACTTCCACAAGATTTTGAATTCCATATTTTCATCCCATCTTGCCCCTCCCCCCACCCCAAGACGGCATGCATTCTGAATACCCGTTCCTCTAGTCTGCCCTCTCTTCTGTCTCCCCGCCCCCTTCTCTTATCCCCTTCCCCTTCTATTTTCCTGTAGGGCAGGATAGATTTCTGTACCTCATTTCCTGTATTTCTTATTTCCCAGTTGCATGTGAAAACATTTTTTTTAAACATGTGTTTTTAAAACTTTGGGTTCCAAATTTTCTCCCTTCCTCCCACCCAACCCACCCTCATTGAAAAGGCAAGCAAGTCAATATAGGCCAGTTATGCAAAACACTTCCATAGTAGACATGTTGTGAAAAACTAACTCTATTTCCCTTAATCCTATCCTGCCCCCCCATTTATTCTATTCTTTCTTTTGACCCTGTCCTCTCCTCAGAAGTACTTCCTTCTGATTACCCCTTTCCCAGTGTGCCCTCCTCTCTATCATCCCCCTGCTCTCTTGTCCCATTCCTCCCCTATTTTCCTGTAGGGTAAGACAGATTTCCATGCCCAATTGAGTGTGTATGTTATTCCCTTCTTAAGCCAAATCCTATGAGAATAAGAGTTCCTTCATTTCCTTGCACATTCCCCTGTTTCCCCTCCACTGTAAGAACCTTTTCTTGTCTGTTTTGTGTAAGATAATGTACCCCATTCTACCTCTCCCTTTCTCCTTCTCCTAGTACAATCCTCTCACCCCTTAATTTTATTCTCCAGATCTCACCCCTTCATCTTCAACTCACCCTGTGCTCTCTATCTATCTATCTATCTATCTATCTATCTATCTATCTATCTATCTATACATACATACATATAATTTTTCCCCTCCCACTACCCTAATACTGAGAAAGGTCTCATGAGTTATAAATATCATCTTTCCATGCAGGAATGTAAACAGTTCAATCTTAATAAGTCTCTATGATTTCTCTTTCCTGTTTACCTCTTCATGTTCCACTTGAGTCTTGTATTTGAAAGTCAAATTTTCTATTCAGTTCTGGTCTTTTCATCAAGAATGCTTGAAAGTCCTCTATTTCACTGAATGACCATTTTTTCCCCTGAAGGATTATACTCAGTTTTGCTGGATAGTTGATTCTTGATTGTAATCCTATCTCCTTTGCCCTCTGGAATATTATATTCCATGCCCTGCGGTCCTTTAATGCAGAAGCTGCTAAATCTTGTGTTTTCCTGATTGTGTTCCCACAGTACTTGAACTGTTTCCTTCTGGCAGCTTGGAATATTTTCTCCTAGACCTGGGAACTCTGGAATTTGGCTACAATATTCCTAGGAGTTTTCCTTTGGGGATCTCTTTCAGGAGGAGATCTGTGGATTCTTTCAATTTCTATTTTGCCCTCTGGTTCTACTATATCAGGGCAGTCTTCCTTGATAATTTCTTGAAAGATGATGTCTAGGCTCTTTTTTTGTCATGGCTTTCAGATAGTCCAATAATTTTTAAATTCTCTCTCCTGGATCTATTTTCCAGGTCAGTTGTTTTTCCAATGAGATATTTCACATTGTTTTCTAATTTTTCATTCTTTTGGATTTGTTCTACTGTGTCATGATTTTTCATAAAGTCACTATCTCCAATTGCTCTATTCTAATTTTTAAGGAAGTATTTTCTTCAGTAATCTTTTGGACTTCCTTTTCCATTTGGCCAATTTTTCTTTTTAGGGCATTCTTCTCCTCATTGGCTTTTTGAATCCCTTTTGCCATTTGGGTTAGGCTATTTTTTAAGGTGTTATTTTCTTCAATATTTCTTTGGGTCTCCTTTAGCAAGCTGTTGACTTGTTTTTCATGATTTTCTTTCATCACTTTCATTTCTCTTCCCAGTTTTTCCTCTACTTCTCTTACTTGCTTCTTAAAATCCCTTTTGAGCTCTTCCAAGGCCTGGGATTGATTCATATTTTTCTTGGAGGCTTTGTATGTGGAAGCTTTGACTTTGTTGTCTTCTTCTGGTTGTATGTTTTGATCTTTGTCACCAAAGTAAGATAATGTAGTCTGACTCTTTTTGCGCTGCTTGCTCATGATCCCAGCCAACTACTTGAGTTTTAAACTCTTTATCAAGGTAAAAGTCTGCTTTCAATGTGGAAAATGTATTGTCCCAAGCTTTGGGGATTTGTATAGCTGTTTTCAGAGACTTCTAGGGACCTATAAATTTTTATTTCTGCAAAGGCGGTATGATAAGGGTCGAGGTGTTTACTCTTTTCCTGGCCTGAGCTGTGGTCTTTGAGTGACTGGCCACAAGCAGTCTTTTCTCTCTTAGAACTGTGAGGAGGGCTTCTTCTCCACAGCCACTACAAGCTCCACCATGCCAGCGCTCCTCCTCACCTCAGGACCACCACCCAGAACTGTGACCCAGATCCAAGCACAGGCAAAGCAAGAGATTCCTGCCTCAGCACCAGCAGAGAGATCCCTGCAGTCCCCTTCTTATCAGCCTCTTGATTTCCCCTCAGTCTGTGGGCTGGAAGCTCAGGACACAGCCACTGTCCCAGCACCCACGCTCTGCGCTCTGGAAC